CTGAATTGTTCTATGATTCTATGATTCCCTTGCTAATTCTTCCAGTCCACTCTTCCCACTTGATATATTTGATTATTGCTCAGACTGCCTTACTATAATTTCATGTGGATCTCACCATGGACTGCTGGCTGGATCTTGCTTTAAAGTTTACTCAGGTGACTGCTACTTGCAGGTATTTCAGAAATCGTATCGGTGCCCTATACTCCAAAAAATATGTTGGCTTAAATGGTCTATTGTTTATTATTCCATCCTATCTTTGTGTGAAACATGATTTATAACACATGCTGTAAAATATTATGTGCTACAGATAAACCAGTAGGACAGTTCAATTGCTTAAACTACCTTGCCAATCAGATTAAAAAAAAAATAATTCCCAATAAGTTAAGTACCTTGTAACAATAAGGAAAAAAACCCCGTAAGTTCCCGAGTATATATAGTCTTGACAAAGAAGAATTCTGTTTATGATCACGTAAGTATTAAGACTTCCTAAATCCAGCCACGAGGAAGAGTCATTCCAAAGGCATTAAAAAAGCAAATATTTCAGCTGTTTTAGCAAGGACTCAATTAACATTGGAGACCTCAACTGAGACATGAGCTGCTACTGGAATCAATAATTAGGAGTGAAGCACTGGAACAGGTTGCCCAGAGAGGTGGCAGATGCCCCATCCCTGGGCTGGATGAGGCTCTGAGCAACCTCTAGTTGAAGATGTCCCTGCTCACTGCAGGGAGGTTGGGCTAGGTGGCCTTTAAAGGCTCCTTCCATCTCAATACATTCTATGATTCTCTGTGTGAGAGTTACAAAAAGTGCTAAAAAGTTAAAAAATTTCTCATCTGGTGAAGCAAAAGCCTGAGAATAGCCTGGATTGTCTAAATGAGCCAATCCCTCTGTAGGGTGAGCATAAGTTGTCCTGGGAGCTACCAGAACTTGAGGAGGTATTGAGCTCAGTGACAAACAGAAGCCACCTCCAAGTGAGATGCAGCTCTAAGGTGTGTTAGCAAATGATTTCTCTCTATCTACCTCCCAAGTAGCAAGTGTGGGCAGAGCCCTTCCCATATCTTCATTCGCGGAGCCTAGCCATGATGACGACCTCAAAAGTATAGAAAATGTTTCCTTAAATTTTTTTGAGTATGAGGAATTAATTTTTGTATTACCTGGAGTTTACGTGAAAAGTGCAAAGCCTTCTGATCCTCAAATTATAAAGGATGCTTTTTACGAATTCTATCCTTGTAGCCTCTCTGGAGGCTGGTAACCTAAGCTCCTTGCGCGGAGCCTAGCCATGATGACGACCTCAAAAGTATAGAAAATGTTTCCTTAAATTTTTTTGAGTATGAGGAATTAATTTTTGTATTACCTGGAGTTTACGTGAAAAGTGCAAAGCCTTCTGATCCTCAAATTATAAAGGATGCTTTTTACGAATTCTATCCTTGTAGCCTCTCTGGAGGCTGGTAACCTAAGCTCCTTGATTAGACAAGGCACTAGTCCATAGCTTGAACAGCTTCCGCTCTGCCATGTGGGAGAACAGCAGAAAATACCTAAGAGACCCTTGAATTCCGCCAATATTACTATCACACTGTTTCATACAGATTTTTCTCAATTAAACCAGACTGCTCATTGCTAGAATTTAGTCCATGGAGTGATATTTTTTGTGTTCTCATTTTTTCCCTGGTAATGTTTTTGCTGTGATAGAAAGACGAATAAAGCATACTGTAATTACTTATTTATTAATTCCACAGTTTATTTGCTTTGAGTATTTTTAAAGAATGTCTGCCTTAAGAAGAGATGCACCAGCTAGAGAATCGTACTGACTACTCATCAGATCCACCTTTCAAACAAGATGCTGTTCAAGGTGCTCTGAAGGGAAATCTGTGTTTGCACTACAGAAGTGACAGGAACTTCGCACACAGTTGAAGACAAACAACTCCATGCAACTGTGGCAAACAAACTGCTGCAGTATGCCACCTGTTTTGAAGACTAATTACCTGGCTTGCACAAAAAGAACTATGTGCTGAATCATTTCCTTTTTCTGTGGCATGAGATATATCTACTTTGAGGACTGGCTTTTTTTTTAACTCCTCCTTATAATGCTAGTGCACTCCTTCGCCCTCTAACTTTGATCTTTGACAAATGTGTGAAATCTGACTATACTAACATCACCTAATCTCTTTTTATCACCTAAATTGCTTCTCCATCCAGACCCTGATCAACTCGAGGTCTCACTCCAAAAAAACCAAAGCAGCAGCATGTAGGGACATCATCTAAATCTAGAGAAGTCCTAGTATTACGTATTAGAGGTCCTACCTGTATGACGCAGTAACACCAGCTGCACAACTGCAGTAAAAATCAGAGGAATGTGTAGAGAATATGGCAAAAAAAGAAAATGAGAATGAAAGGCTAGTGAAAAAGAAATAGAGGGGTCAAGAGTATAGAAGATCTCAAGAACTTCCAGTAATTGTCATGTTCTAATTAACAATAGAAAAGTTGACCCAAAAATCTTGCACATAGCACAATTTCTGCTTCAAAATTGAAGCAGCAGGTGATACAGCCAGAAGCATGACTACAGAAGTCTCCAGAGGTAAAATAGAAAATAACGTATCTTAACGAGGCAGACAAAGAGCTTCCTCCTACAGTCTTTCCAAGAGACAACAGGATCATATCTACATACTAGTGCCCTTAAGAAGAGAAGTGGGAAGGTGCCTACACCCAGATGAAGGGATTGGATATTTTCAGTGTAACACACAACAGCCACTGTGCTGAAAATGGCTGAGAAGGAAAGTGAGGACATTCAAAACTACAAATCTAGTCTGTTTTCTTGTAGAAAAACTTAAGCACTCAATTTACGGGAGTTAAGAAATTTTCAATAAAAAATCAGGAACTACAGCACTCTTTATTTAGGAGACACTACCAAACATAAGGCTTGATTCCAAATAGCAAATTGAGAGAAGACAAAAAGCACTTTAATATGTAAAACTTTTCTGATTTCTTTTTTATCCCAGCTGAGTTTGGAAGTACCAAAAGGGAGTTCCTAGCAGATGACAACTAAGAAAGAAAAATTTTCCTTCAGCAATCTAATAAGGTCTAAGAATTCCGAATACTGAGTTTTGACAGAAGTTTGGCCCAGATGATATTTTTGGAAGTGTAAAATCGACATTTCCATTATAAGACTGCAACTGCCTGAGGGTTTTACAGATCAAACTTCAGAGTGCAAAAGGATTCCTGGACAGAATAAAAATCCTGAAGAAAAGACTACATCATTATCTGAATGAAAATCTATTCTAGAACAGAATTCATTTAATTATAAACTAGAAAATGAAAATCTAAAAATATCCTAGGTAAAGACAGGGCAGAAAACCAGACACAAAAAGGAATAGCTACATGAAAACATATACTAAGTCTCATAACCTACCTTAAATTTCAATCACTCTAAGACCCCTGGGCAAACTCTAGAACGTGGCAGAGCAGCATGAAGTGCATTAACAGGAAAAGAGACACCTAAAATGATTCTATTTAATTTTATCTGATTACTCATCCACTGAAGTCTTAAAATACCTGAATTAATACTGTTTTCATATGTTTGAATATATTTTTGTACAATAAAATTCAGACTGTAAATCTGTAAGACAAGCATTCATTAAGAATTTCATGATGAATTATAAAAACTTATGTATACCTAACTAAACTCATACATACCACACACATATATACACACTTAACTATACAAAAAAATAAACTTAGTTCCAACATATAGAAATTGTTGAGCACAACTTACTACCACTAAAAGTTTTTTCCTGTACCTAGAGATACTGAAGTGGATCACATGAAAGTACTGATCATACTTTTGAAACATTGGGGAGCACAAGGGGGAAATCACAATGGGTCTGAAAATACAGTACCTAGAACTAACACTACCTGGAAACGGCTAACTATACTGTATTTTTTGTTCTTATTTTAATCTGGTAAATCAGAGTACCATACAACTGTAAATGTATTATTGAAATTCCTACAGTTATTTTTCACATCAGCAATTATTGCTACTTGTCACAAAAGTGCTACACAACTGTAAGAACAGACAAGGTCAAGGCAATTTTTCATTCAAGATCAATCATGATGTTGTGCAAGTGCTGGCCCTGTACCCTATTCACTAGACACTGCATATTGTATTCAATATATTCAAGCAGCAGCAGATGTAAAGATATCCTCTCCACAAAAGTGGATAAAAATCATGTTGATACCAAGCCATAAGTGGGAGGAGCAATGCAAGAAGAAATTAAGATTTGACTAGAAGCAGCTAAACTATGAAGTAAAAACGAACAAAAAACAAAAAAAAAGTGGAGATGTGATACAGAAAGAAACAACCAGAAGATTTTAAAAGGTAGGAACTTGTTTGAAGCAATACCTTCCAAAACTACGTATATGCACAAAGTCAAGAAGTTCAAATATGCTTTTCTCTTACCTGAAAGATTTCCATCCGTTTCATCTGGCTGGAGACTAGCCACACTGGTAGAATCCATTCCTTGCTGGAGGTCCAAAATTTTCCTTCGTAGTTGCTCTATGTCACTCTCTTTACTATCCAGCTGCATCTGGAGCTCATTCCTGTATGTAGATTCTTCTGCTAGTTGCTGTATTTATATACACATGTATAATTACTGTAATACCAAAAATATAGCAGCAAAGTATTCTGAAAACAAAAACTCATTACTTTTTTTCTTTAGGATAACATACCAGCGAAATAAAGTGCATGAGTAGTATGCCACACAGTACTCAGGTTTTTTTAGTCTTCATAATTTATCAGTAAGTTCCACAGTTAAGAATTTAAAAAGGGGAAATGAATGAGAGCAAGCACAGCTGCAGAGTTGTCAAGTTCTCTGCCTCACTGAAATTCTGTAATCTAGAACATCTAAAACAGAACTTGTTATTTTTTCAAGTGGACTAGGAGCTGTACATGTTTCCTGCAGAGAGAATCTGCAATGTGACAAAAAAAAAAAGAAGATTATTTTACCGCTTGCATTTCATTGAGCTCCTTCTGGTATTTCACTACCATCTGATTGAATTTCTCTTTTTCTTGATTAAGCTCTAACTGGAGCTTTCGGTTTTCCTTCTCTTTCTTCCTCAAATCTTGCATGTTAGCTTTCTTCCTGTCTATTTTAAAGTCTTTCCGATTCATTATCTCAGCCAGTTTGTTGACAGCCTGTAAAGAAAGACAAAAAGGAAAATCAGTAAGAAAAATTACATATGCAAGCATATTTCAGACAAAACTTCTAAGTTCCTTTAGTTCTAGGATTCATTTAAAAAAAAAAAATTCACCAACATAAATGGCCCTTACTAACAACAGAAGTAACACTGAAAAGTACATAGCATCAAAACTCATAAAACACATTAACAGTGCATACATGATGTATAAATCATGGTTAATACTAACTTAATCTTAAAGGAAGAGTTAATTGTACAAAAACAAACAAACGAAAAATGTATCTGATATGCAAAGTAATTATTATTAAATTGAATAAAGTTGTACCTGTGTCTTCAGAGTTCTTTCAGTATTAATGCTCTTCTCATAATGCATTCTAATATTATTGATTTCTTCCTCTTTTTTCATTTTGTATTCTGTTAAAACAATATGAAATTTTGAGATATTTTAGGACATTGTAAATATTTCTAAGCTTAATCACTTCTACAATTGCTTTTTTTTCCCCTTTTATTTTCCTGTTATGCCACTTAATGTGCAAAATAGAGTTTGCAACAATAAATGTTACCAGTTTAATGCTACTATATTTAAAGGATATTACCAGAAGAATATTTCAGAAAGGCACCAAGATGAAATACTAAAGCCAACATATTTATTTTTGCTTCCTGATGATCACTAAGTTCAGTGTCCCACTTCCTTCATGTTTATACTACCAAAAATGTTTCTGCAACACCAAATACTAAGTCGGTACCCACACAGAAGAAGACTGATACGACTGGACTCACATTCAGACCAGATTCTCATTCCAGGCATAGAAAACATGGGGGAAAAGGCTTTTTTAACATGAATGACTCTGTCACATTCCCTCCTCTTTCACATACTTGTTCTACCAATCTTTGTATCACACCTCCAAATCTGCTGACCTGTTATACCAAAGTTTCTAGAAATACGCATTTCACCGATTTATCCACAAAAACTAGAAACAGTTAAAGAACAATTTTCAAGTACTTACAAAAACCAAACTTCATAAACTAAAAAAACACTGAAAACTGCTTGCACACTCAATCCCTGCTATTCTGGAAATGCGGAACTAAGGGAAAATACTTTAGTATAACTTCCTGTCTACACAGTGTTTGCAACAGCCCTGGCAACACAACTGCAACACCATGGGAGCAAACTGAATGATAAAGTAACTTCCCATGCAGTCAGAATGCATGCAAAGAGAATGCCAATCCACTGATACGCATGAGGTCGCAACATAGATTCTGAATCTAAGCGAGAGCTTAAGGAAGCTGAAATGCTGATATTGCTTTACTGTAAATACTGGAGATAGAAACAAAAACTTTAATAAATACATTGTGTGCAATACAAAATGAGTAAAATACTGTTCCTTAGTAACTTTCACACACACAAGGGCATGGCTGGCAGAAGAGGGTTAGACAGACAATATAGAGATGAGCTGTACTGGACAGGCATTCCCGACTATACCTGGAGGAGCTTAGGGTCAACTTGTAAAAAGTGAGGAGGGAATGTGAAACTCATTTTTTCCTACCTGCTACAGCTGAGCTTTTAATTGTTTTCTACAATAAAGGCAGCACATAAAAATGGAAGTGATGGATTAGAAAAAAGGGCTATTCAGAATCATATAACTTTTGAGTTAGAAAGGACCTTAAAAGGTCACCTAGTCCAAACCCCTCTGAGATGAGCAGAGACACCTTCACCTAGATCAGGCTGCTCAGAGGCCCTTACAAGGTGGCCGTGCATGTTTCCAGGGATGGGGAATCTATCTCCTCTCTGGGCAACCTGTTCCAGTGTTTCACCATCCTCACTGTAAAAAAAATTCTTCCTTACATCTAGTCTACATCTAACCTCTTTTAGTTTAAAATTATTACCCCTTGTGCTATCACAACATGTCCTGCTAAAAAGTCTGCTCCCATCTTCCTTACAGGCCCCCTTTAAGTATTGAAAGACTGCAGTACAGTCTCCCTGGAGCCTTCTCTTCTCCAGGCTGAACAACCCCAACTCTCTGAGTCCTCGTACGACTGGAGCCTCATTTCTGAGGCCCCCCCTCTGGACCTGCTCCAACAGGTCTGTGTCTCTCCTGTGCTGAGGACTTCAGAGCTGGATGCAGTACAGCAGGTGGGGTCTCACCAGAGTGGAGCAGACAGGCAGGATCACCTTCCTTGACCTGCTGGCCACACTTCTTTTGATGTAGCCCAAGATACAGTTGGTGTTCTGGGCTGTGAGTGCATAGTGAGCTCATCCACCAGGACCCCAAGTCCTCCTCTGCAGGGCTGCTCTCAATTCCTTATCCCCCAGCCTGTATTGATACTGGAGATTGCCCCAACACAGGTGCAGGACCTTGACCTTGGCCTTGTTGAACTTCAGGAGGCCAGCTTCTTGAGCTTTTCCAGGTACCTCTCGATGGCGTCCCTTCCCTCAAATGTGTCAACCACACCACTCAGCCTGGTGTCATCTGCAAAAATGCTGAGGGTGCATTTAGTCCCACTGTCTGTATCACTGATGAAGGTATTAAACAGTATTGGTCTCCATATGGACCCCTGTGGGACACCACTTGTCACTCATCTCCATCCAGACACTGAGCTGTTGACCAATAACCTCTGGATTTGACCATCCAACCAATTTCTTACCCACCAAACAGTCCACCCATCAAATCTATATCTCTCCAATCTAGAGAGAAGGGTGTTTGGGGGTGGCCATGACAGAAACCCTACAGAAGTCCAGATAGACAACATCTGTAGCTCCTCCCTTGTCCAGTGATGTTGTCACTCCATCATAAAAGGCCACCAGGTTGGTCAGGCAGGACTTGCCCTTGCTGAAGCCATGCTGGTTGTCTCGAATCACCTCCCCATCCTCCATGTGCCTTAGCATTGCTTCTAGGAGAATCTGCTCCATGATCTTCCCAGGCACAGAGGTGAGGCTGACAGGTCGGTAGTTCCCAGGGTCCTCTCTCCTTTCCACCCTCTTTAAAAATGGGTGCAATTTACATGGAAGATATATTTTCAAGATTAAAACTACAATATATGATTTTTCATCATGCTAAAAAAAATAGGGAAGGTAAACAGGAATGTCTTCTCCCATTTCCATTTCACCACATATGTTTCAAATTCAACTGTGCTTCATAAGAGATGAATTAAAACTCCAAACACAACATACCTTCCTCCTGTTTCTTAATTTTTTCACTGATTTCTGAATTTTCCTTTGTTATTAAATCAACATCTTTGGTTAATGTGTTATTAGTTTCTTCCAGCTAAATGAAAACAAACATATTTTAAAATAAGGTACTTGCCATAAATTCTAAAACTATTGATACTATTATTTTAAATGACCTTAAATCTCTAACAGCCATTTACCTGGAACATCTTCCTCAGATTACACACAAAAAAAATCTGCTTATATTTCAAACTTGAATTTTTAACAAATAGTACTTTTCTTCTGAGCTTTCTTGATTTACAGGAAGGCTCAGAATACACCTATCTCAGAAAGATTTTTTTTTTTTTTAATTATCTTCACAGAACTGACAACACTATAGCATACAATTAAAAACATAAGCAAAATTAGACTGTCAGTTACTGAACATGGCATTTTTAAATTAATTTGTGGTATTTTGGAAGTAGTAGTACCTAGAAGCCCGATGACATGAATCCAAATAGAAAAGTAACAGATATATGATACAATTTTAGCATTCAAGTTCATAATCATAGAATGGCCTAGGCTGGAAGGGACCTCAGAGATCATCTAATCCAACCTCCCTGTCATGGGCAGGGACGCCACCTCTCGACTAGATCAGGCAACACACGGGGACCAATCGGGAATTGAACTCGCGACCTTGGTGTTGTCATTTTTGTCAGCACTGCGCTCAAACCAGTGAGCTAACCGGCCCCCTGTAAAGAGTGGCATCAGCTGCTCAATAATTGTCACATGTTGTGAAAACCAGGTATAAATCAGCATAAAAATACAACTAGATTTGGTCTAAGTTAAAGCATGCATAGGTAAATATATATACATTTATAGGTTTGCAATACAGTGGAATAATTTACCCTTCTTATGATGCTGTCCTTATCAGTCATTTCTTGCCTGTGTCTTGATGCCGCTTTCTTGCTTTCCTGACTTAGTTCAAAATACTGTTCTTCAAGGAGGGCTCGTGCCAACCGTTCTGACTCAGCTTTGGTTTCAGCTAAATCCAGCTGGGTAGTGAGCGTTTCTCTGTAAAAAGGACATGACAATTTTGTTCTTCTAGGCAAAACATTCCAGATTTTCAGGAAGACTGATAAACGCAAATTGGACCACTCAGCTAATTGTCATTATCTTAGTTTCTTAAGAAAAACAAGACAGCGCTCTGTACGCTTGTATCTTTTGATGACCATATAAGCTACAACAGCAAGCTTACTATAATTCATTAAAACTTCCATCATCCATGATGGATCAGCCCTTAGGAAACCACGTGTCAAATTGTCACACCTTTGAAAAACATAAAATAAAATTGAATTGCATGTACAGTGTGGTCCATCACACAGCAAACCTGTTGGTCTTTGTGTGGTCCATCAAAAGACTGGTAGATCATCAAAAGATCAAATCCTATCAGTATTAGCTACCTCTTCACATAAGCTTACTTCTCAGAAGATGTGTGCTCCAGAGCATTTGAACAACAAAGGAAAAACTGCATAAAGTTTGTGAAAATGTAGTGGTTCCATATCCGTGCAACCTTCTGCAGAAAGGCTTGCAAATTATATCTACAGCTTGAGAAGGAAGGGGCATTAACTTGGGTGCGGTATCTCATGAATGTGTTCACAATTTCTCATCAGTTCAGCACATGAGCCAAAGCTCTGATATATTTGTCCGCAGAGAAACCTCCGTGAAGGAGAATGGCCAGTCTACCACCCATGAGTCAGATGAACCCAGCAACACATGAATCAGTCCACAGCACGCCCAGAGAGAAATGGCAACGTGTTACTGCAGTAACTACTGAAGTGTACTGAAGTGTACTCGGACTTTGTCACAATTCCCTTATTTGCTAACTTAGAAAATAGTACATCACAATTAATCGTTGTTGGATTAACTGGTTTTGCTGTAATCAGAAGCACACTAGTCTTAGAATTCCAAGTATTTTCTTTTTCTCAAATTGTTTTATTTGCCATAGAAATATACCAAGTAATTATCAAGATAATATAACTAAACAAAAAAAGTTGTTACACAAGCAAGATGATTACCACAAATGGCAACGTTCTTTCAAAATTTTGCAAAATTTAGGAAGACCTAAATTCTCAGAAGTCATCATTCTTCTTCCAGACATTACAAATATAGTCCAAAGCAAATACAAATAACCATATTTGGCTTTGTCAGTCAGCAAAGGCAACATCCTACATATCTGCCATCTTACTGAGTCTTATGGAAACTTTTGAGACTTGTCTTTTCCTGAAGGAACTAAACATTTAATATCTGATTCAAAACCTTCATAAGTGAGACCATACTATACAGAAAAATAAGACGTCTATTTGAGAAATACAACGGGCATACTTTTCATTTTGCAATTCCTGCATTTTTCTTTGAGTTTCTTTATTCTTTTCATCAATTTCCTCTTTCAGTTCCTTAACCTGAGTTTTGTAAAGAGTCTGTAAAAGAAAACATAAAAAAAAGAATCATTATTCAAATTCCAAAGTGAAACTCTTCATTGTCAAACTCGAACACAGGCCAGTACCGTCTTTAACAGAATTTCCTGCTTCCTGCCTGCCCAAGATCATAGAATCATAGAATGGCCTAGGCTGGATGCTCTTTTCCAGCTTCCCTTGCCTAGGGCACTGATGTAACCAAGTTGGTTTTCAGTTTTCTAGTCTGGTTTCCTACATAGTTGTACAAAGACACCTGTTAAGGGAAGGAAGGCACCAGGACAGAGCTGAGTAGGTCTCTTGGAGACAACAGGACAAAACCGTATCCTCTTGCAGCACCAGTCTCCAAATCTTACTCAAATAAGCCTAATAATGTCCTAAGCTTCTATCTGTCATATTCTCTTTGTATCCACCTATCTTTTTGTGTGTTATTCACATACAGTCTTTGTCTTAATAACTGATTCAACAGAGGTCTGATTTACATGAATAACTTCTGTTCTTAATTACTGCATTGTTATTAACACCACTAGCAATTCTGAAAGTTAAAGGTTCATCTTCAGCGGTAAAATACTTTTGCTAAATATCCAGACTGAATTACAGAAGTCTCATTTAAACTACATGCTAGTGAAAAAAAGAGAAAAAAATGAGAATCATAGAAGCATTTAGGTTGGAAAAGATCCTTTAAAATCATTGAGCCCATCCATAAATCTAACACTGCTAAGTCCACCACTAAACCACGTCCCTAAGTGTCACGTTTCTGGCTCCTTTTATTTGTATAATTGCTCAGAGAGATGAGTCCTGGCCCATGAGTAGGACATTTCGTGTTTCTGTCGTGCAAGTAACAACCTCAAGCACGATGGGCTGAGTCTAGTAGCCTAAACGGGGTGAAATACAATACTCCAGACCTTCTTATTAGCAGTATGTTATAGAGAAATGCACAAAAATCTGTAACACAATGAATTTACTACTATGTGCAGTTCAGTAAACACAAAAAAATTTATTGTCCCTCCGAATTTTAAAAGTACTTCTCAAAGTGAAATGAAACTGTCCATATTCACAAATGGATACGAAGTTCAGACGTTAGAGAGCATCTCATGCAATTGTTTCTTTTCACAGAAATGAGACACAAACTAAATCTATGAAATACACATTTTGGCTACCTGGAGTGCCTAATAAGTCTCTTCAGGGACTCAGGTGCAGAGACGGCATCTTTTTAAGAAGGATGAGGAATACGTGCAGAATGCTACTGGATCTATGGTTTTTTTACATATATTTATTGTAGGTCAATAGTATGGAATATATTCCAGTAAGCACAGAGATTTTGAACTCTACAAGGTTTGCAGTTCTGTCAGAAAAATATCTCTTTTCCAACCTCAAGATAGGAACCACCCTGATTCATAAGTCAAGTAAGAGATACTCAGTGTAAGATGTACAGTTTGACAAATACAAAGCAACACACTAGATAGACCACCTAATGTTCTCTAATATTTTTGTTCATTGTATTTCAACCAGGAGTTTGTGAATTGCTGATTTATGCCAGGTTGTTATTTACATTTAAAACATTAACACAGCAAACTTTTCACTCTTCAGTGATTTCATGTCAAAATATAGCACTCACAATTCTTTGCAAGTCTTACCGAAAAATACTGCTCAGCTTCAAGCTGATCCTGAAGCTCACGCATTTGACCTTCATTTCCTCTGTACTGTCTTTGAAGAAATAAAAAAAGGAAAACATGTAGGAGTTCAACTACTGCAAAATGACAGACTATTTCTAACCAGAACAGCATCCCACAAAGATCTTACATTTGCACACATATTATTTCACAAAGAACAAGTTTGCTCTATCTTAAAATTATTAAGTAATTGATTCCTTATTCTACCTTGATGTTTGCTTCAGTACGTAATTTAGAAGACACTTAGCACTCCAAATGGAGAAAGGTTAAATCAACTGAAGGAAGATACAACAGAGGCCTAACTAGTGCAAAACATCTTCAGTCACCTTAAGAAATGTTAAGAAAAAACTCAGTTAGGGAGTGAAAAAATGGTATTGATTCCCATGTAGTAAAAGTCCCATATGAGTTAATAAGTAGTATTACTGTCAATCCATAAAAAAGTCACTCAAAAGTGGCATAAATATAAGCCTTGACATAGAGTGATGAGCCAAGAACCATTCTGCATCATAGCTCATAATAAAAATATTCCAACACTGAAAGCTACATATATAAATCATAACATGCAGCTAAAAATACTCTTTTAGTTTAGGAAAAAATGCTTATGCATCAGAGACCTTTTTTCATTAACAGGAACGGCAAAACAGTACACGTATAATTAAGCAACTTTGGCCATTTTACTTCAGATTTTTACTTACTTAGCAAGCTGAGCCAACTCAAATTCCAGTAATCTCTTTGCTTCCAACAATGTATTGATTTCCTGTTTCAGCTGCTTCTCAGAACCCTTCAAGTTATCTGCTTCAAAAGCTTGCACTTTTAATTCATTCTGTGCCATTATTCGCTTATTCGTCTCTTGTTCTAGCTGAAGCGTTAGATTCTTTACCTAAACAGGAAATAGCTCAATTTAAGAACATTTGCTGAATAACCAACTGCATGTGGCTCAAAGTGTTTCACATACAAATTATTTTATGTCAAGCATTGATACAACGCTGCACAACAAAGCTTCCCCACACTTAGCTTATTTCAAAGTCCCAAATGTGTTCTATCTTATTTTAAAAGGCAGCAATGGAAGAAATTCAAATTGTCTGCCGAAAGGTCCTGTAAACCTCTCTGTTGATTTTAGAGCTTCAAACTTCTCATCATAGAAAAAAAAAAATGCAGCTTACTAGCTACACAGAAACTAATTTACACAGGTTGTGACCCCTAAGAAAGGTGGTGTAATCTTCATTCCCCATGTCTTGTAAAGAAAATTAAGAATGAAACTATTATTCTTAGTACTCAGTTTTCACACTCATTCAAGAAAATGCAATTAGAATATCAAGTACTCTTCTGGAGAACGCAAACTCAGAATTGCAAACCATACAAACCAATTAAAAATTTACAGATAAGAATTCTTTTCAAATAGAAAGGGCAACACAAACAATTGCATTATATTGACAGTTCAAATACGTAAGGGATCCAAAATCTAAGAAGCAGAAATTGCCTAACACTAGGCCAACAACTGTCTTGAGTTCTACTGAGAGGTGTATTATACAAGGAGCTCAGTGTGAGTCGTACTTTGCTAGTTCTCAGTGCAACTATAATATCTTATTTATATAGAAAGTTGTTAGTGATAAACATTTTGCTTACTTCATCTTCCAGTCTCTCCTTTTGCTCAAGAAGGTGTTCCAGTTTCTGCTGAGATTGCTTCAGGTCAAAGTCCAGCATGGAACACTGCTTTTCAGCTTGAACTATTCGATTCTCTGCCTTTTCTCTTGCTGCCCTTTCTTCCTTTATTTTTTTTTCCATTTCTCCACAAGATTAAGAAAAACAACAAAAATGATTATGTAGCATCTGCAAGAATGCTTTTGTAAACACAGTCTTAAATATCCTAAAATTTTTCAGACCCTTTTGTTCAGCTATTTAAGCTCTTCTGCTGTTAGATGGACTGATTACTGAGTGAAAGCTTCCGGGCATTATTACAAGAAACACAAAAACCAGAAATGTCATTCCAATTTGCTTTCAAAGCACTGGAACATTATCAAGACAACTGAGAGGTAAATAATCAAATAAATAAAAAATGTAGATTCTCTAAGTAATCATCGTGAAATAAAAGCAAAGTTTCACCTCATGAATGGAGAATAGGGTGACAAATGCAACCATTCGTGTTAGCTTTCTTACAAGTTACAAACTACACATTAAGGTACTGACAACCTTCACAAAGAAAACCTGATGTAGTTAATTAAGACATCAAGACACATCTTTTTTTTCCCACAGATATGCAGCTATAAAACAAACTTTATTACTTCAGACAAGCCTAATACAACACTGATCTTTTTCATGCAGTTATACAGGAATGAATGCTCCGAGGCATGTCTTGGTAACACTTCTTTCAATTTTGTTTAGCATTAGCCAGAATTTAAAGATTCAATAGCAGTTTAGAAGCCAAGGAAGGCTTTGAATTGCAAACACAGTAAGATACTTAAAACACTAAGAAACAATACAATTTTTATGGTACAAATACCATGGTAAAGAAAAAAAATTGAAATTTATAGTTTTCATGTTTTAAGATTTTGATATGCACTTTCTTTCTAAAAGATTCAGCAGTTTTATAAGAGTACTATACTATAGGATAATGCGTTTTAAGATATCATAATGAAATTATCTTTTATTATGTATTTACCTGAAGCTTGCAAGAAACACTTACCACACATTGCAACTGATCTTGCTTCCTCTATTGATTGATGTTTGTCAGTTAACCGAGCTTTAGTAACTTTGTGTTCATTTACTTCCTGTTCTAACCGGTCTTGTAATGATTTGAGTTTGTAGTTCAAATCTATCTCTAAATTATTCTTTTCCTAAGGATAAGAAAAAAGTTTCAAGATTTCTGCAATACTTCTATAATATAACTGAGGGAATTTCCTTTCTTCCCTTTTTTAGTGCTTTTTGTTATGAAGAAATTGTCAGTGTTATTTCTCCTGCTTAATAAAGAGTCGTAACAGACAAAAACTGCACTCAGTGTCCCGGAGAAAACTTCATTAACGTTCTCCAGTAGTTTATAAATTCATAAGATAGCGGACACTTCTCCATTTGAACAATCAGTAGTCACCTAAATTGGAAACATAAAACTAAATCCAACACCAAATCACAGAGGAATCTGAATTACTGCTACCTCGATGCAACTCTTATTACGCAGCTGGGGCTGCCAGCCATTAACAGCCACTCATGAAACAAGCACTGGAGATGAGCTCTGGGAGCCAGAGACTTGCCTTTGGACCACTGCTTCATGTGACACCAAAAAACTGCTTGCTCCTCCCCTCCTAGGTAGTCCTATCTCTAGTTCATTTAGAAGGATGACGCAGCACAGCAAGTCTTTATCTGACCTCAAAACATGGAGCTAACTATGTAGCCTATCTGGGAAATGGGTGCGGGATTTCCTCTTACTCGTTTTGTTTCTCCATCTCGGGGCAGGGATAGGAGATGTGAGGGGAACATGCCGCTACCGTTCTTTAGGAAGGAAGTTGATCAAAAGGTCTGGCACCGATACAGTCCAATTAAAATCCAGTAAAAGCAAAAATTTACTTTTTTTTTTTTAAAGTTTAAGTCTCTGCAGCAGCAGTAAGGCAGACAGAACAAAACTTACTTGCTACTGGCAGAGAGGCTGGATCCTTGAGTCGGTGTTAGTGAATGACAGCACGAATTTTACACCTGAGGCTAAAAGTAAGAACTACCTGTAGAACTTAGGAGACTTACCAGTATGATGAGCACTACTTAATCATTTTAACACAAGATTGACTTAGAGCAAGAACATTGGACTTAGCAGCATCAATAAATATTATCTGAAAATATAGCCAAGCGATGACAAAGAACATGAGTCTCAAAATCATTTTACTATACCTTTTCTGAATGATTAAGCATATCCTGTGCTTGTTTTCTTTCCGCTTCCACTCTTTCAAGATTGTTCTTGATGTTTTTCACTTCTTCTTGTAAAGTTGTAATTCGAACTGCCATAAAAAATTGAATTTCATTCTCTGTTAGTTACTCAACTTAGATCAACAGGCTTTTCAAACTTCATTGATTTCTGGGCCCCTGAAATATTTACATGTTGAAAATTTTCAGACATGCAGAGGCTGTATGTTGTAAGGAAACCCGATCTTTTTAGCCACTCTTTATGCAGGCCACTAGCAGCAATTGACAAAAACCGATCAATCATAGGCAAAACTTGGTAACTGACTTCCATCACTTGCAACATTTAACACACAAAATTTCCCCCATTATTCCAAGTTCTGCTGTACAATAATGTTTCCAGGGATGGAGCAATCACAGTTTCTCTTGGCAACCTGTCCCAGGGTTTCATGACCCTCATCGTAAAAAATTACTTACATCTAACGTAAATCTACTCTCTTTCAGTTTAAAATCATTGCCCCTACATTGTCCCCCACTATAGGGTCTGGAAAGAAATATATGTCTTGCTTATAAGCTCCCTTTTAGTCTTGAAAGCCTGTAACAAGGTCTGCCCAAAAAGCCTTGGTAGTGGTAGTAGCAGTAGTGTGTGTGCAGGCGCCTGCCAAAGCAGTAGTGCATATATATAAGCCAAAGTAGTAGTATATATATCTAGACTGAAGAATTTGCATTAGCTCCTTGAAAATAAATACATAACAAATATTTTGGATTACTCTACACTACACTTGATACTTTAAAAATAGTATACAAAAAATATACCTATCAATTCAAATACGTCTGTCTACAGCACACTCCACTTAATTTTGAAATATAAAGACACATCCTGGCAATGCATAAGAAACTATGAGATAGAGAAGGAAGTCTTCCTAAATCTTACACTTTTCTCATTCACTTTAAAGGTGCTTTTAAAACCAGCTGTATGAGTTCCAGGCATCCTGAAAAAGGGATTACACATCAGCATCCCTTACCATGCTCTTCACCTCGCTTTTAGAATGGCATAGAAGCATCATAAAAGAAAGCCAATGCAACGTAACAACAAAATAGCTTTCTCCACAAATGAAAGACAAGAAAGTAGAAGGTACAACAACTTGGCATTGCATCAAGGTAGTAAAGGTGTAGTGTCTTCTCTAGCATTGTATCAGCTTGTCATATTTTTGTACCACCGGACTCGGATTTTTAGTCAGGGCAGCGTCATAAACTTACAGTCAGTGTTTCCCACCCTCATTTTGATACTCTCCCTCCCAAGAGGCACTCAGACATGATCAGCAAAGCGAGATCTTATCTTCAGAAATTGCTTTATTAAGTCACACTCGATTTGCAGGTTGGTCTTCCTCCCTTTATGGAACTGCTCTCTATTTAATAAAGTATGGTTATCACAATCTTTTTAGTAAAGTATAAAAAGAGAAGAATTACCCTGTAGTTCTCCAATCATTTCAGATCCATGACTTCTGTCTCTTCGTTCCGACTCCAAAGCTGCTTGCAGTTGGTAATAATCTTTCTCCACCTGCAGTTTTGTGCTTTCTAAAACTCGGCACCTTTCCTGCAGTTCTCTATTCAGTGACTCTACCTGACTTAATGACTTGCTCATTTCTGTGTTACCCTTTCTCAGTCTTGCTGCTGTATCCGATTCTGTCCTCAGCAAATCGTTTGCTTCTTCTAGCTGTTAAAATAAACCAGAGAAGATCCTCAAATATAAAAATTACTGGGACCACTTTCACTATCCCTGAATGCTCAGTACTGCTTCTCAAATCTATGAAATAATAAAGACAATAAACAGAAGTAACATACTTGTTTTTGTAATTGTGTTATCTTCTCATTTGTTATTTGTGAATGCTGGCTGATTTTTTTCAGGTCTTCCATCTGATCTTTTAGCGTGGACACTAAACAGAAATTATACAATTAATGCATTAGATTAAAAGAAAACTTAGGGTTTGGGTTTTTCTTACACAAACGCTCAAGTAAATGCTTGGCATATAATGGGTCTTTTGTTGATTTTTTTGTTTTCTTATATACATTTTTAGGTGAAATTCTGTGCTTCCAGAACAACAATGCACACTGTAGAGAACAGAATTTTAAAATAAGACAAAATACTGTGTTCACATGAAAATAAACTCGAAAATCAAGTCCATTATTTGAATTTAAATTTGCATAGTACTTAAGACACAAAGGTAGTAGACTATTCCCCAAAACACATCATATATCTCATCGTCAATGTTTGGACAACATGGCATACCTTCATTTTCCACGTTCCGTCTTTTTTCATTCTCTTGTTCAATTTTCCTTTGGTACTCATTTATCTTATGTTGCAATACCATCTTTTCCTTCTCAATCTGAGACACTGTTGATTCCAAGTTCTTTCTTTGATTTCCCTAAAATTTAAAGCATCAGTATTTTCTATTTACATTTTAAGGAATGATCCCTAACCGATGTATCATTTCCAATGAACGAGTTTCTGGCTTCCTTGAAAAGGTTTTCTGAAAAGATGGCATTTTTAGTTTCTATGTGGCAAGTCTATGAAACTACTAAAAAAAAGTTACAATTGATGTGATTATATGTAACTATTAAAATTAATAACAAGAGACAACATAAGGACTGTATGGGAAATCATCTGTACATTAATTTTTAAAGCAACTGATTCTGATAAACTCCAGAAAAACTGGAATGAGCAAGACTATGCAAAACATTTAGCAGAGGAAATAGAATTCAACGTGACTTGTGGAAGAAGTTCCTGAAAATGTGTACAGATAAAAATGTACCTCCCACTGCTGCATCTTGAAACGTGATGATTTGATCTCAAATTTATATTCTGAATAATTTTTTTAGTCACACTAGAATTATCTTGAATATTAAAGTATCATCTACATTCTTTATCCAACTAAGAAGGCTTCAGTGAGGAAAAAAATTACCTCTTCATCCAGTTCTTTCATTATCTTGTCTAGCTTTATGTTTGAAGATCTAAAAATAAACCAAAATCATTTAAGTAATATTTGGGAATGATACATCATAAATAATGTTCCTCCAGTTAAATACTTTGAGATTATTACTAAAGGGAACATTTCTATTTTGGCTAATACTATTTTGTAATAAACATTTGAAATTGAAGAAAACAATCAATCATCAGAAATAATTTGTAAAATGTATTGTTAAGTATTTGCCAACTTTGCTGCAGATTATATACGCAAAACTTTATGCGCCATATTCTCTCCCTTAATTTACAAAGGTAAAAACAGGGTATGAACACAACAGGTTATCCTTATAGTTACAATATCCTGGTGAACTGCTAAGACTTCCTCAGATGCAAACTTTTAAATGGTTCATTAATTCAACAGTAGACAGCTTCCCATCATGGAAAAAGGTACCTGAACAATATTATTTGAAAGTGTCTCTGCTGGAGCAATGTGTTAGAACATAATCTTACAGAGAGACTGAGCTTAAGTGCACAATATAACCTCAGTAAAACTGGCAATAACATTGACATTTGCATTTTTGTAGTCAGCTCTCCCTCTGCAAAGAGGTAACAAAAGGACTCAGACAACATTACCTGGCAGGCACAACAAGAAGCAGTTACCGCCACATACCCTATCCACTAACTCTGCAGGAAAGCAGAGGGGCAAGCACATATGGGCAAGCACACTGCTGTGCATCGACAGCTACAGCCGGGCTGCAGGAAGACAGGTACCAAGTGTCTTCCAAGCAATGCACATCCTGCTTAGGGAAACCAAGTGGAATACGTGTGCAGTGAAGCCGTGTTTAAGTGTAAGTGACAACATCACACGGTCTAAATTCCCACTGGATCATTCTGACTAGCAGGTCCCGCATAAGTACCTTGTACAGCTACACACTGTGAACCTAATTCATATGTCTAAATTCTTCCTGTATCCTGTATCTAATGTTGCCTCCTGGCTCTATGCAGGCTTTCAGGAAAAGACTTTAAAAGGAGGAATTAACTGAAGGGGAATTTACATTGCAGGAGTCTGAGTAAAAATTCTGATTATCAGAAAAGAAGAATTCTAATTATCAGAAAAGAAGAATCCCAACTGTTCGTTTGTAAGTGTAGTTGCAAGAAATCAGCAAATTCTCACATAGCTACTTCAACATGACTTAAGAAACAAGACTTAAGAAAGCAAATAGTTGTTCTTATCCATCAGTCACCAGAAAGAAAAGGAATATGGTTCTCCAACAAGTACCATGTATGTAGAAACTAGACAGTTAATTGTAATAATCCAATATACACAATACATATGGCATTTTACATTTTTTTAGAAATAGGCACGATCAGTGTGCACCTCAGTCCAGTGAAACATCTGACTTCAGAGACAGGAGGTAAACTCAAACACTGAAGTGTGCAGAAAAAATGTCTGTTACATGCGCACCAGTGAGAACATTTTCTTCATACTATATTCAAGGAAACCATTTAAATACTCTTTTAGAATTACTTAAACCTGTGCCTGGAACTCTCTTGGAGAACTACAAAATCATTCTTGGTGTTATTCTGGAAACCCTAAAGCAGTAATACAAAACTGAAGTGTTAGGTGTATTTAAATTATGTAAACAATTAAAGTTCAAAGTCTCACCTGCACTTCTGCTCCATTTCATCTTTCAACTGCATTTCATTATGTAGTTGTTCTTCCAACTCATAGATCATCTTCTGCATATTTTCCAGCTTTAAATATATATTTGTACATGAAAGAACATGCATTAAATTTAAAAACTTCTAAAAAGTATTTCAGAACATTCAGTGCTGTTTATGCTGTATCACAGCTTACTCACTTCTACCTAAACTCTAGATTTTTATCTCATTAAAATGTGATCCCCTCTAAAGAAACAAATCTAAAAAATTTAATTACAAGAAACAACTTTAATATTACATAGTTTTGCCATTTGCACGCACATAAAATTTTAGAGTTCTTAATAGTTCTGTCAAAATTTGAGGGGCTAAGCCAAGTCAAATCCTCCCTGTTTCAAGTATCTCCAGAATCAGACTAAAGACATTATTACTCCATAGACATTAAAAAAAAGCATTTTAATGAGTCTCAAAAATACTTTTTCTAGGATGAACCACCCCATGTATTTTGCAACGCATCTTCAAGCTCTCGACAAGCTCAGGAAACACAAACACGCCTGTCAGTTGTTAGCAATGGGGAAAAATCCTCTTAACACCTCTTTAGTCAAGAGATAATTTTTACAGCTAGCACTGTACTGCAGTTTGAACATAGTAACAAACTTCATATTTAAATAGAGAACACTACTATATAGCATGTACTGTTTGCCAGTGGATAAATTTAAAAAACCTACATTGTTTTAACGTAGAGATCTACTGGATCTCTGGGCACAATTACTCCACTCCAACATCCGCAAAATCCTCATTAAGCACAGGATGGTATCAACTTTGAGGAAGATCATTAAGTCAAGCCCATGCTGATTCACTCTTAAACCTTTCCACTGATCTTGTCAGGATTTCAGCTTTATTTAGCCTTCCCACATTTCCCTCAATGCTATTGGAACTGCATAGAGAAGAACTGCAGTCCTAATTTAGATTCTTTCCAAAGCAACAAAGTGAAGTGGTTCTGACCCTTCCCTTTCTTGTTCCATTGTTTTAACTTCAAAACTATTGCTTGACTCCTTCTGCACAATCATTCCAGAAAGAAGAACAACAGAAGAGTTCCTTCTATGTCTACCTCTTCCTTTTTCTCTTTTCCCACAAAATAATGCTTGGAGAACAAACAGCTCATGAGATCGTGAAGAGGAGAAAAATGCCACTTGTCTCCGTTCTTTCTTGATAGTAACAGTAAGGGTTCTCAACAAGAACTGCCCTCTCTACAGTCATAAATTAAGACTTCAGTTCGGAGACAGACTTTATCCATGCTTTATCCATATTAAATGAGAAAGCTCTAGATGAGATTATTTTTGCCTACTTCCAAGCAGGTGTTTTTCTGACTTCCTACTTTCCAACCGTTCTCCTTCCCATTCTAATAGGAAATAAAGTAAGGAGTACTCAGGTGCTCTCAAGAACTGGAGACCTTTTCTCACGTCATCCTTTTTGTTTCTTCCACATTCTTAAGCTGCTCTGAGTTTTTCAGAGGAAGAGAACAGACATGGTGACTAACCAGAATCTACATATTTTATACATTCACCGCTCTATCTATTGAGCACTAACTACCACAAAACCTTGGGAGAGCAAAGAAAGTGTGACATACAACATAATACCATGTGGATGAGACAATAGTTGTACTCAAAAACCACAGAGGTGGCCTCTAAATCAAAACTTTGAGAAGAAAGACCAGTATACAACACATATCCTTGGTATGAACTACTGAGAAATGAAGCAAGAAGCAAGACTATTTAAAGGCTAGCTCACACTTTAGCAAAAAGTGACCACAGCTAATGGACAAAAATAAAAGATATAGAAGTTTTAACATAACTGCTCTTCTATTTCGCAGTTATTCACTTCACAGCCCTTCCAGACAGGCTGCATAGTGGAACTAAATAGGATAGAAGAGGAATAGGTCCAAAAAGACATCTGGCAATTGAGCTATTTCTGTAGTAACTCCTACTAGTTTGGACCTCTATTGCCTCCTCGTTCTTCTTTCTCCGGATGCTTTTACAGTGCTGTACCCCAAGGGGCTATCAAAGCTTGCTGAGGAGTCTAATTATATCAGTACAAGAAAACAGGCTTCCAGAGAAATTTTGCGCAATCTGATATCAACAGCCTAAGTAATGCCTTTAAGAAAATCCTGAGTTACAATTAACTCAGTATAAAAGCATTCCTTTATATTTTAGTTTGTCCTGTTTCCATTTTGAGTAGTGGAGGAAAACTACAGAAAAGCCTGCCTACAGCAGAGAAGCCAAAAAAAAATATCCCTCTGGAATTACCTTTTTTTTTTTTTTTTTACATCACCATGACATAGTGGGTCTGGTTCTGCATCCTGAACAACGAAGAAAACCAAAGACCCTGTGCAAGGGAGTCTATTAATCTTCTCTTTCTTAATATCTGAAATGTCTGCAGGTGATTATCTTAGCACTAAAGAAAAGTAAATAATAAGATCTTCAAACAGGTCTGAAATTCACTTGTGTCCAACTTCATGGCCTAATTCTGGTAAGTTTTAAATACTTGCAAAACACAATGAATTTCTTGGAAATATCTGGCACCCAGTCCCTTCCAGAAGACACTTAGTACCATGTCAAAATGCAGATAAGACTAGGTGACGTCTTGTGTTATATTTCAAGAACTAATTAATTTGCTAACCATGTTGTCAACATTACCGTTTTCATTGCAGCATGTAATGAAAGAAGAACAGCTGAAAAAACTTTGGAGTAAAAATACCTCGTAGTAAAGACTTAACATTTATTTGAACTTCTCTGTATCACTCATATACTTCCAGAGGTTAAGCTCCCAAAACTGTTAAAACCACAAGATGTTCTGCTACATCTGACAATACAGACAGGACTCTTGAAGGCTCTTTAAACACCTACAGGTGCCTGTATCCCCCTAATTATGCCAAGTCCATTCAGTAACTCTATTCAAAGTCAATCAAAAGCTTTCAGTATCTGCAAATATTAATTAATTTAAATATTAATTAATTTTACTGTATCAACAGCCAAATGCTTATGAGAAAAACAAAGTTTATGGAACATGTCAACATAAAGAAATCAAGACGATTCAATGCTTAATAAATTCAGTTAACCCAATAAAGTACATAATCAGGTCCTCTGCCATTTTCTCTGGGTAATAACACCATATGTCATTAAAACCTTTATATCACAAATTTAAGAAAAAACATATATCGGTATCTGCTTCTCTTCTACTCTAAATGGAAAACAAAGCGCTAATAAGTAAATCATAGCCAAAGCCAAGAAGATTACTTTTAGAGTTAGTTATAAATTTCTTAACAGTGTTTTCTTCTGGAAAGAACATAATTTGTAAACTATCAAACCATTCTAAGGCAACAGCTTGAGTTACACCAGAACTTACACAGAATCCAAGCAGGCCTTGGGAACCAGTAACTGTAAGAAACATTTCTTTCTAGGGTGAACTGCTCTACAAATGCAGATCATCACTGCCCTAATTCCCAAGAGCTTGTGGGGTACCCTGGGGAAGGAGCAGACTATCCAAGTTTGGTACCTTATCTGCCACCTCCCACCTCGTTCACAGGAAGCCCAGCTTCAGAGTCGAACTGGCGGGCTGCCAGAAAGCCCAAGCTTCCCAACCAGACTCCACGGTTGCCACGAAGCCAGAATACACTTGGGATCGATGAAGAGCTCCAAAAATACTGTACAACCACTTCAGTAATTTTAAAGACAGAAAGTGTGAATCCAGTTTCACAAGGGGCATACTTTTTCCCAGTTCAGGAAAACCGACGCTTATATGAAGAACTGAAATTCTGCTTTTCCAACAACTTTATCAGGCAGGCCATACCAAACAGTCAACATCTATGTGCTGATTTCCCATATTCCAACCGCTAAAATAATGCAAGGTATTTAGAACTCAGTTTATTCCCATATATGCAACAGATTTTTTGCTATGATTCAACAAAACTGAAAATCAGTGAGACATACCACACTTTTATCCACACTGGAGCCTGTTCTATTATCATTGGAATTTTCTGCAGAGGCAGCTAAATACCTGTAACAACATTTAAAAAGTTGTAAGAGTTGTTTAAAAGCAAGGTTATGAAAAAACAGAATACAGTCATCCTAAAAAATAATTCCCAAATTTTTTCTCCAAAATGTGCATAAACTAATCATTACATAATCAGATTTTTTTTGTTTCTGTATTTATTATACTTGAGTATTTATGCATATTTAATTGAAAACCTCACTTAATTTAGTGTAACGTAGAAAACTGCAGTAGAAGCCCTCCAGAAAAAAGGATTTCTGCCAAGTACTAATACAACCACTCTTTTTTTTTTTTAATAACCATTAAAAAAAATCTTTGCTTTCCATGGTTACAACACTTTCACTGGCTTCTATCCCATAAATATTTATTCAGGCACTTATGCCACAAGTAGCAGCAATGAAGTGAACTCTGCAGAGATTGTGTAACTTCCAACAAAGTTACTAAGAGTTCCACGCACAAAAAGTTTGCCCTGAAGCCAGTGTACTGATTTTACGTAAATGTTTTCTAAAAATACCACAAGTTTCTATTTGTCATGATTCTGAAAAGTCAGGTAAATAAATACAAATTACTATTTTCAAATTCCTTCCTATTTGACGTGATATTCTTGGCCTGATAACCAATCTAGAGAGACGTAAAGCGTCTCTTAACTGCATCAGAGTACATGAGGAAAACTCTCCAACACATGAACTAAGGAAGACAGACACTTTTTTGTGTCACACATACAAAAACATTTCCGAAAGATCAAGGAGGGTTAAAACAAAGACATTTCCAAAGCCAAGGTTAAATTAAACATCAAGACAGCTTTCAGACAATCAAATGGCAAAGAGGAACCTGGACAGTTTTTCAAAGGAGCTGGCTGCCTTGAGCACAAGAAGCCACCGTATTTTGCACACCAGAGCAGTTATATGTGAAGTTCAATAATAAACAACCAGATTTCTAGTTTTCAGTCAACAAGATTACAGCTGTAGAAAAGCTTGTACTACTTCCTTTAAGAACAGAAGTCACATCAATTTCCTAGATTTCCACTTCTTTAAACTGCCCAACATATATGAATAATATGTCCCCCAAGAAGGAGAAGGGGGAAGGAAGAAATTTTCTTAACAATTTTCTCTATGCATTCTGTAACATATTCCAAAATCTTCCTCCAAGGCAAAAATTAAGGGTTTTTTTTAAATTACAGACTAAAATGAGAACAGCAGGTGAAATTCCTGAACTGCTGATCTCACACAAACCATATGCAAAGCTTCCAAGTCCTTCTACGTCTTCCTATGCAGAGAGCAATAACAAATCCAACTCCTTGCAGAAATGGAAAGAATTTCACCACAGGCTTGGAAAAGTGGTTCCTCTTCAATCCAAGGATGAAAATGAGATTTGCTTTAAGGCTTTCCTATCCAGAAACACTATTAAAACTAACAGTTTCTACCTGACGTTTAGTAGAAGTTTTAGGCCCTTTTAAGTCTAACTGACACCCACTATAACTAAGAGCAACTTTCAAAGAAAAAGCTATGAAGATTTTTTAATGTAGACACAGCTATCTGTAGTGCTGATGACTGTTGAAGGTATGAATTAATAGAAATTACATCAGTTGAAATTAAAGCCTTCCAAGCAACACTTAAAACCGCATTACAATCTCACTCTGCAGTGACTGAGTACTGTGGAAAAAGGAAAATAATAAAAAATTATGAAGCTTCTGCAGAGTCGTTATATAATATTCTTAATACAGAATAAGACATTCACAAATTTAGTGTAGTATTTTAAGGTACTGATGACTAGCGGTAATGGCTATCATCGAAGTTTCAAAATAATGTAATTTATCAGGATTCTGAAATTACTTGTATCCAAGTACTGGTTGGCAAGAGTTAGAAACAACGTTCACAAAAGAATGCACCATTGGCTTGCTTTCTGCATACATACCGACGGTTGCTGTAGTATGTAAATCCTACAAAAGGAAGCTGGTTGCCCACAAATGCTTTTGGTATGGGAAATGTTTCTTCCTCTCCTTTATCTTCTTCCAGGTCATCAAAATTACTAGTGTCAATGTCACTACTTAAGTCAGGCACAACTGGTGCTACAGCTAGAAAAAGAACAGAATAGCGTGGTAACGACCATTGTATTACCCAAGTCACAGAACCAAGATTTTTGGGGGAAATTTGTCTCTGGTGTCTAAGAAGTTTTTCCTTGGTACTGAGCAAATAAAACTTTAAGTTACATTAAAAAGAAATATGGCATAATATGTAAGTAAACCATCACCATATCACAGTCTATGAGAAAAGCATCATACTTACTGTCTCTGAGAGTTTCCCAAGCCCATTGATCGTTTTTGAAGAAAAGGTGTCGTTTAATTTCTTCTACACCATTTCGTCCTAGTCTCACTTCCCTGTTAAAAGAGTGTTTTGGTTAAGCACGGAAGATTAGATCAATTATTCTGAAGGAAAGGTTCTTTCAAAGACATAACAACAAAGACAAAACTACCTCTCAAACTAAGCTAAGAAACAGACACATCTCCAAGTTTTCATATGACAGTATCTACAAGCACAGCAGTAACATTTCAGAACACAGGTTTTAGGTCTGGTCCATAGGGAGGCCTGCTGCTACTGTTTCCACAACTATGGATTGGCTAAACAGCTGCCAAGCAGCAGCTAGGTTCCACTTCTTCCAGCTCACGCTGTTGTTTGAATCCCAAGCAGTCCAGCAAATGCAACAACCCCCCTCAATTGTAGCACCAGTTCTTAGGCAAAGGTAATGCTTTTTAGTAACATGGGTACAATAGGAGTGCACTTACAAAGTGAAACAGACCTAATGCCCACATTTCCAATGAGCTTCCTCTGGGCTGACTGTACCCTAATCCTGAATGCCCCCTAAGAGCCGGGGGCACTCCTGAAATGCACCTTCTGCTTCAGCTTCATCATCCCAAAGGAATCTCTTCTGCATACCCCTCAGTACTGTAAAACATAGGCTAAAGTAACAGTAGCTGTTCCTAAGGAGTAACACTTTATATTCAAACTAAATTTATAAGGTAGATGTACCCATAGTAGCAGCATTTCCCTTCCCCCAGTATACATGCTACTACCATAAAAAGCAGCAGCAACCATTGGTGACTCCTATCCTAAATAATCACTTCTGCTGAGCTGTTTAGAAACTCACACAAAACAAGTATTTTCTTCCCACATGTGAAGAAATTCTCTTAACGGAAGTTTGATTTCATTTTGAATGAAGTTTAAATCTTACCTATCAGTTAAAAAGGCACAAATAAGGTTTTTTGCCTCTTTAGAAATCTCATTGTCATCAGGGAAAGTAAGAGAGTTCTTATGGTTCATAATCTTACTGTATGTTCCAACCAAAGAATCTGCATAAAAAGGTGTGTCACCTGAAAAAGCAATGCAAAAATTAAAAAAGCAGATTAAAAGTATGGTAGATTTAACTTACAATATTTGAACTACATATACAACTATGGAAGCAATTAAGTGAATATGAAGCAAGGTCAAATGTGCCAGAATATCTATAAAACGTATTCTGAAAATACCATTAGTAAACCACAGTTTATGTCAGAATAATTATAACGTTAAAAAGAACAGGGATATTAACATGGAGTCTAGTTACGTATTGTAGTCAATTCTGATTATCCTACTACTCACCTACAAGCATCTCATACAAAAAGACTCCAACCGACCACCAGTCACATTCTCGCCCATAGTAACCATCACCACCCTGGGACTTCAATACTTCAGGAGAGATATAGTCTGGTGTTCCCACAGCCGTATCACATCGTACCATACCTTCCTAAAAAGAGGAACAAAACAGCCAAGCTCAAATATAAGATCCAAAACTGTGAGGCATCTCCAAGAGTATGTGTAGCCTAAGCAACATCAACAGATCAACGGCAACTTTCATCAACAAGTGTTCTTTTCTGAATGGGTATTTTAACATTGTTAAATTCTAAGCTACTAAATCCAGAACAAAGTACCAAATTTGCCACAGTGACAGTTACTTTACAAACCTCAGTTAACATTCAAGAAGAAATGAGAATTGCACCAAGGCCCTGTAAACACTGCACAGCCTCTCCTGCTTGTGCCAATATAAACGTGTCACATACTGACAGAATGTGTTGTAAAAAGGGAAATCTCCTCTGTGAGCATAAATGGGTCAACATCAGGGATTTTTCCTCACAAAATCAGCTAAAATGCCTGTTTGTCACCTCCGACCTGATATACTTAATGCCAGGAAGACTAAACGTAGACAGGGCCTTGAAACTCTAAATAGACATATTTCAAAGCAGGTAACGGGCAAGAAGAACATTTGACATTCCTCACACCCCTGAGAAAAGGCCAGCAGAACAGAGATCGGTCCCATTGGAGCGGACATCCAGTACCACAGAGTGCTAGGGGCTGGAAAGGACCTCGAAAAATCATCTAGCCCAACCCCTCTGCCAGAGCAGGATCTCCTAGGGCAGCCACATAGGAATGCATCCAGGCATTGAGAGTCTCCAGAGAAGGAGACCCCACAACCTCCCTGGGCAGCCTGTGCCAGTGCTCTGTCACTCTCACAGTGAAAAATGTGAGGCTGCAACCACGTGCCTCTTTCCAGTGCCATTCAGGCACTTCTGAAATAATCCTATGCTACTCCTAGGAATGGATCAGTAGAAAAATTTGCATAAAAATATATAACTATGTAACAAATATAAATCCAGTGTTGTGAATGTAGCAAACCCAAAATACACCTAAATTAAACTCCTACTCCCACAGAGTAATCTCTTTCAAAAGAGTAGAGGAATTCAATACTAGAATCAAAACTATTCAGCCATCTTTTTTAGAACAGCACAAAAAGCAACACGTTGTTAACACGAGTTTACTTCTGTAATGCTAATATACAGCAATTTTATATGCTTTTCTTTTTTTTGGAACTTACAGCTTAAACACTAGGATAATGTTTTTCTATATTTTAAAACTCTTCAATGTCAAGAACATTATTAGTCAAAGATAAATCTATATTAAGTCAAAATAAAACCAGATTTTGTGTCAACTATTCCACCAAAGCAGACTGCTGGTGACTCAGTGCAACCCCTTGAATTTGCACACATAACCTGCACTTAGTTTTCGTTGATGTCTTTTATTTATGGCAAAGCAGCTAAACAAAATGGTTTATTTAAAGCTCCTGGAACATGTTGAGAATACAATGTACATATTACACAGACTCTATTAAGTACCACGTACTGCATGTTGTTTTCCTCATGTGCTGAAACAAACCAACCAGAGCTTTGTGCAGGGAACAACAGTGCTTCACAGTGTGTGAAACACTGTTGCAGAACACATTTTGTAGTGACTTCAGAAAATATTCTATGACATTTTTTAACTTGTTTCCTTCAGATCTGCCTTTCTGCTACATCAGCATATGGCTAATAAGCACAACTGGGATTCAGCAAGTTGTACATCAGGTTTAATTCTTTCATTACTGACTTACTACACAAAAATGAACACACTTCTCAGAATTTTCGATAACTAAAGATTTACATAATCTAGAGGACCTAGAGACAAAGGCTTGACTTCAGAAACCTTTTCAAGGAAAGAGTACAGAAGTCAATACAGTCCCTACCTCAAGAACCGTTTCTGCATTCTACATTGTCATTGAATAGGATGCATAAAGAATAGTAATGGGAACAGAGTGGAACTTTCACCTCTTCTTATCTAGCTGAAAAGTTTTCACTGTATTTTTTTTCACTTTTAAGTTTGATTTCCTTTCACAAACAGGAAAGCACAATTGAAAAACATATTTACCTTGTTCATCTTCATACAAGTACCAAAATCTGCTAGCTTTAAATGACCAGCTTTATCTAGCAGCATATTATCAGGCTTCACATCTCTGAAAGGAGAAAATTGTATTTGCTTAAAGGTTAATAAATCAATTTAACTTACAAAACCAATAACAGTTAACTATTTTGCAGATGCAACATTGCAAGAAAAACACCAACGTGAAAGCACCACTGTTTCCTTAATTTTCTTCTGTTTTTTTTTTTATCATGTTCAACACATATATTGCTGAACTACAGCTTTAAGTCACTAAATTTAATAAATCTGGACATAAATGTTGAACCTCAAGCTTCTAAAAAGCACTCACTAGTTGAAGCACCACTCTGCTAGGATCTAGCTACAACAAAAACATCCATTCTGGTTTTGTATTAGCTATCTCAAAGAGACCTTGAAAATACAGCTTCTTCTCTGTACCACTTATATTTCAAGGGAAAAAATGGATGCCATTTTCAGAATTATATTAATATACAAAAATTTTTTTGCTCAAATGGCTCAAAGTGGCTCAAAAGGAGTATCGCCTTAAGCCCTTTCCCACCAAGTATATCTGTTAGAGAAGTTTTCATACAGTAACTGTTACAGTTCAGCACATCTAATGTTTTAAAATACACTGAAGCAGAATAATCATAGGAAACAAGTATCAAGAAAGCATAACATGAATTTCAGGAGATAATATATTTCTGGGACCTCAAATGAGAACTCTGGCGATAACTGTCACACGAAGTGCAGTGGAACTGTATCAGTATACTCACAGAATAATTTTAGCTGAGAGGGATTTTTCTAAGACTCTTGGTTCAACTGACTAACAACAGCTAACAGAGTCAGATTCAACAAATTCAGTCAAGTCTTTATCAAGCATAAAGATTACACAACCTCTCTAGGACTCTCCTCCGTTTGACTACTCTCAGAGTGAAAAAACTAATGAACAGCTAGGTACTCCCTCACTGCAACTTGCATCATCCATTGCCTTTCATCTTTTTGGTGTACAACTTCAAGTCTGGCTCCACCTTTTCTGCAAGGTCCTGCTGGGAAGCAGATGACTGATGCTTTCTGCCTCACCTGAACACTTCATGTTGTGAATGAAAACACAATACTGACCCCATTATCAACCCTCTGAGGAATCACAGGTAGTGACTGTTGACTGGACATTGTAACTAAGCACAACCCTCCGTTCTATCTATTCAAACCATATCCTTCCAATCCAGCTACAGCAAAAACCTTGCTGAAGTCATGACAAACAGGGCACACTGCTCTCCCTTCATCACAAGGCAACTGGGTTGGTAAGGCCTGCCTTAGCCTCGTGTAAATCCACACAGGCTGTTCTCAATCACCTTCTCATCCATATGCTTGGAAGTGGTTTCCTGAAAATTTAGTCTGTTCTAAAAGCCTACCCTTATGCTGGTCAGTCCGCTGTTCACGTGATCGTCCCCTCCTTGCCCTTCCACAGGCAAGATGGGTATGCCATTTGCTTCTTTTCAGTCATCAGAAACCTCCCAATTGCCACACCTTTCAAAGGTGACAGAGAGAAGTATCGTAAGGGTACCGGCCAGCTCCCTCACCACCCTTGGTACATCCAATCTGGTGTCCTGGATGTGTGTATGTCAAGTTCACATAACTGGGACTCAGCTTGATCCTCCTCTGCCACAGTAATGCTTCACTCTCCCAGGCTCTGGCACGGGGACCTGAGAGGCCTGAAAGCAGATCTCGCCAACAAAGGCTGAGGGGAAGGCAGCAGCCTCAGCCATTCCCATGTCACTAGACCCATTAAGCAGTGAGCCTGTGTTTTCATCAGTTCCCTTTCACTCCTCAGATCTGAACTGACCAACTCCAGTGGAAAACAAACTCAAAAACACTTGCTGGTGTTAAAATAATCTAACTTCTCAGGAAAAAACCCCTCACTGTGCTGCTGGCAACTTTTAATGCCTGTGTTCTAAAGCTTGCAATACACACGTACAAATGATTCATTCAGTCAGATAATTTATCCATTAGATGCAGCATATCTACATAATTAATGATCCTACTCAAGCAATGGATCAGTAGCTGGGTTTGCTTTGCTCTTGCTTTTTTTGCAAAAGCTTATGTGTTAGCATTGATCTTCTGGCCAAATTACAGATTGAGAATTTATATATTACATCTTCCTTAAACTCTTCCTGTATTTTCTGTTGAAAATATTATTATTCCGCTCCTAGTTGATGCAATTAAAACCTAACAACAGAATTTCAAAAGAAACTTCTCAACCTATCCAAGAAGTGACTACATTTCGCTCTGGGGCAAGTACAGAACATGACACTAAGCCAAGTTCCTTTGCTCTGCACATCAATTTCTCATTTTACCCCTTGCAAAAAAACACGTGGCTGGGAGATTTTCCCTGCATTGTTCATAGATTCTTGCTTAATGGGTCACCAAATCTTCAAATGCAGAGCAGAGAATCAATAATTCCTAGGAGTGGATACCACTGCCATCATATTCCCAAATCGGCTTTTTCTCATCAAAAGAAAAGAAACACTGTGAGGTCAACATGTTCATACAACTTTAGTTCTTGTACCTCTTGGTGAAGTGGGGCAATTCTATTACTCACCAAACTGAGGAACATCAGCCTGATGAATACCTTTGACTGTATCACCTCAGACTTGTAGCTTCTCATGGCAAGAAGCTCTGAAGTTGTAAGATCGAATAATTACGAAATAATACTTAAGAAGTAACATTGTAAATTTTTTAAACTGTCTGAACAACTACTGAAGTCATTGAAGCAGCATCAGAAATAAAACAACACTGCTTAACAATACTTTTTTCTTTTTCACCTGTGTATAAAACCCATTGAGTGAATTGCATCTAACGCAAGTACAACTTCAGCAGTATAAAATCTTGCCCATTTCTCTGGAACATCATAGTTGCTCATTAAATTCACAAGGTCCCCACCAGGCATGTATTCCATCACCATGTAAAGATAACGATCATCCTGGAATGCGTAAAATAACTGTAAAAAGCAAATAAACAAAAAACAAGTCACTGAATGTTCCAGTTATCTTTCATCTTTTGCTTGTTGGAAATCAAAGGAATTTCTGCACAAACTGATTTACAGAATAATAAAATTGCTACAACTGCTGCAGCAACTTTGGAGCATCCAGCAGACCTCCTAAAAAGGAATTAATCTCTGGAGTAAATTTCAGACAGATCTTCCATCCTTTTATATTACAATGGAAAGAGTAGAGTTCTGATTACAAATTAAGATTAGTGACTTTCGTGTAATAAATTTTGAGATCATTTCAAGGGACATTCATTGCATAAGAGGACAAAATGTTTCCTCATTGACTGGGATGTTAGTTGACAAATATGCAAACACGAAACTACTGCACAGCAAATATTTGCTAAATATTTGCTGATTCAGTTTGTGTTATCATTAAATATTTATTGTTCTACTGTCAATGTATTTATTGTATAAAAAGTGAGCCTAAATTTTAAACCATTAAGTAAAAATAAATCCCTCACAGCCATCAATGCTCTAATCAACATAAGTAGTGCAAATACATTTAGTTTTCTAACTTTAAAACTTTTTTAAAATCATAGAAGTATTATTCTGGACTAGCACTCCTAGGCAGAAGTAATGTAGTTATTTATTTGACCTAGTTAAATTTTGAATTATTGGAGGTTTTTTAATTATAACCTAACAGAAGAATTCACATGCTTAAGCGTAAGAACAGTTTAAATGAACAAGTCAACATGTTCACAAACAATGCCTGAGGATTGCTTCAGGCACACTCCTCATTACTTCAAAGGCAGCAATGCCTCCCAAAAAAATTGTCAGCGATAACACTGAAATAAGGAAAAAAATAACCCAAGTGGGTGTAATTTGCAGTCAAATATACACACAAAAATTAGAATATACAGAAGCTGTGCCTTTAGCATAGCTTTCTGGTATGCTGGATGCCTCAAAGAATTACTGCAGAGCAAGCTCACCAATATATACCTCGCTGAGAGTTTTAATAATGAACAGAATAGCTTAATAAGCAGAATAGCTTATCTTGTAAATGTTATGACAAAATACAGTTTTGAAGTGTGATAACTGCTATTTGTTGTATACAGCATTCCTAATGTTCATAATGTATTTCCCTAGCAGACCAATACAACGAAAAAGGAACTTTGAAAAGCTAAAAATGAAAACATATAATCGCAAATCATGCAGTGTTGCAATGCAACTAATCTATAATGAAAATATTTTAAAAAGTTCATCACTATACCTGCACAACCCAGGGACTATTAGCAAAAGCCATGATATCCCTTTCTTCCCAGAAGAATGCAGAATCTGATCTTTTTATCATCTCAAATTTGCTCAGAAGCTTCATCGCATACACTCTTCTTGAGGATTTATGCCTTACCTATGAAGACAAATGGGACAGAGAACAGTTTGCCACACAAATATGAAAACCACCACTGAATATATTGCTTTTCCTTCTTCACTATTTAGCAAGATTTTTAAGACTACTCACGTTTTTATCAAGAACTATATACTACAGGTCTACAGAATAATTACATTCCATTAACTGACAATATATGCATGGCTCTTAAAATACTTGCTAGAACTATTCAGCACAGAAGTCCATAGGCATAACAGTAGCTTTGTCATTTGTATGTATGTGTCTTTAAAAGGACAAATATTGGCACCTCTTAAATACTACAAAGTTAAAACTATATGCATTGTCCAGAGTTCACTAGCAGACATGTATACTTGCTGTCATATTTCCAATTTCTCCCACCAGTTCTCAATTTAACAAAGCAGGATGAACAAGCCTGGTTGCTCGTCTACCACAAACAACACACAACATTTCTCATTTGTGAGAATGGTGTCCACAAAAACCTGGTGTAGTCCTGCAACTGGCAGAAATTCTTCTAGTCCTGAAGACTCAAGTCTTCAGTGCCCATGTATACGGTGGCAACGGCTAATTTTCTTGACAGGAAATACACATTCCATTTTAATGTAATAGAGAAGCATGACTACAACGCAGAACAAGTACTTGTGCACTTTGAGAATTCTGAAATATGACATTCTCAGAAACATTTCCATTGGATAAAAAGAAAAAAAGTTTCACTGAGCTAAAAACTTTTATGTTATAAGACTGCATCTTTTGAACACTGCATTCAGAAACAGGCACATGAGCAAATACTACAGAACTCTTCCAAATCTACAAAAAGAAACAACTTACCAACTGAACCTCCCCAAACGCCCCTCTACCAATCACCTTCACCACTTCGTAATCTTCAGCTTTCATGCGCAGATCTCTCATTTTATTTACCGTGTCTTTATCTGCAAAATAGAAAATTCAAGTTTCATATATAATCCATTTAATGAAATCCATTCATCTCATTCCTTTTTTTTCATAGTTTTAGAAGATGTGCTGCTGGAAGACAAGACTTCCTTTCGAACCTACCTTCCTGTTGGAAACTTCTGCAGAGCTGACACACGAATGCATGATCTCACTCTCATTACTATGGTAACCAAAACCTGACATAAACATAATGCAATGTCTCTACTTTACAATCGAATCACCAGAGATCTTAATTTGGGAATTTCTTTAAAAATACTCACCTGTATTAAAAAAAAAAATAAGCTATGCAAAAATTTCAGTCAGCATGATCTTGCTTGTAAGCTGAACAGTTTAAAAAGATTTTATCTGGATAAACATGCAACACATTTGAGAAAATACCATAAAGTACCCATACAAGACACTAGAAGAAACTGTTTTCAAAAAAAAATAAATAAAAAATAAGCCTGCACTTTTATTGTTCCTAATACCCAAAAAAGTAGATTTTAGTTTAAATCATGTAGTGGGAATCATTGCAATTATTTATATAAACCTGTCATTCTATAAACTACAATAATTTACAAACTCCCAGTGGGCACATATTCTAATTCCAAATTTGGTCAAAGATTAAAACAGTCTATTTTAATCCATGTGGGTCAACACTGGCATGAGATTACATGGAAAAGCTTCATGCATTCAGTATTTCTAAAAGCAAGGAACATCTACTAAAACAGATATGCTTCTAATAAATTATGTAATGATTTTTTGTTTTCAAAAACAATATTCTAAGTCTAAAAGCAAAGTTTAGAAAGAAGTAAGGATAAGGAGGAGAAAGGAGGAGAAATGTCATTTTTTAAGCTCATGTTTTAAAACAAAATTATGAGGCAAGATGACAGAAAATTATCATTAGATTTCCACCTATGCTGGCCATTACCTAAATCAAAAGCAGCATCTGTTCAGTTAAAATTCAGTAAGATTTTCTTACTGCAACAGGAACAAACATAGCTCTGTTTGAGTAAGTACTCTGTGGCATTACTGTCTAATGAAAAGCCATCCTTTTACAATGCAGCATACCATCAGCTAATTTCAATAAGTTGTATTAAAGTCACAAATTCTGACAAATTACTTCAAATGAGGATCAAACTACTCAGTAACTTTAAAAAATAAAGCACTGCCTTACTTGTCCTGGTGAAAACTGACCTATAGTGGAGGATATGTAAGACTGCGTAGAATTAAAATGCACCAATTCTCATGACAATAATTTTCTAGTTATTGTTAACTTCCTGCCCAGCAATCTCACAACTGGGCATCCACCACTTCTAAATGAAAAATCTCAACACCGGTGCAAGAGAAAGGCGGGCACGCTGTGAATGCTTTACATGGATTTCTATCACAAGCCTCGCCTATGGACAAAACAGAATCCAAGAAAATATATCTGAAGAGCAAACCAAGCTATCAATTTTTAAATCATGTAAACCAGGCTTGTGAGGAGCTGCAAACTGCAATTGACCACTTGAGACACGTACTAACACTCTATTATCTTCAGACAATATGTTACAGCAACGCCAGTGTTGGTAATTTGACCTCTGTATGCTAAGATCCGTTAAAAAAGGCTTATCAGGCTGCAACAGATTTAAATCAGCAGTTCCTTATCTGAAGTTTGATTATAAGTTTAGGTGCTGTCTTGAAATAAACTAAGTCCAAGACGCAAAGTATGGCTTTCAATCATCTTGGATATAGATTTCTTTATTCTTTTAAATCTACATGGTAGGAAAATTAATAAGGTTCTACACTTGCAGAAATAGCCCTCACAACCTTAGGCAGTAGAAGCAGACTTTGGAGGCTCCACAAATATACAATGTAAACCAGGGAAAACCAAGAGGTGATAAGGACTGGCTCATAGAGCAATCAGTCTATAAAACAAAGGAAGCAAACTCCCATTTTTTTTGCAACCTAGAAATTTATTTTAAAGTTCTAGAATAACAGTGTGAACTGTTTGGACAGCAAATAGACATTTTTTAAAATGGATTTCTACCAGAAGTAAAATAAACATGAAAATGTTCTTCCATGTTTATTTATTTAAAATACAAATTCAAGACAAACTAGACTTCACAGCTCCCTCTAAGGCCACTACTTGCACATCCACAGCTTGCTTTCGTATTTCAGCCAACACAGAAAGATCAGTGTTCTAAAGGCAGTCTGTGAAGTAATATGGTCTGTTCCCCACCTTTGTATTACTTCAGGTCACATCATACACAGTACATAATTAATACCTACAAGACATTGAGAATCAGACTGTAAAGGAAAGTGATTTTTTTCCTACAAGACATTGAGTATCAGAGTGTAAAGGAAAGTGGTTTTTTTCCTTCAGTCAGCCTCAATTACAATAGTGAAGCTCTTGGAGACTCACTAACGATTTCACTATTCATAAAAATTACATTCAGATTATCTGTTGCAATGAGTAATTTCCTTTGCCTAATCCAGCTTCTCTTTTCTCCAAGAGTTTCACCACACCTCCTCTGTAAATAACTGAGTATACAACCCAGCATGCAACCCAGTTTACAATATCAAATGTAGTTTGAACTGTGAAAAGTTAAATAGAACATTTGAACCTAGGCCTTTCAGTAACCAACCTGTGTACAAGTGAGCCATCAACTAGATCTAGTGGACTCATATATTCCCACAAACGGGGAATAACACAAAACCCACAAATTCATCATTATTGATTACAGTTGCACCAAGCAAATTATTCTAAAACATCTTGGATATATAAACAAAAACGTAAATTTCAATGAAGCAAAGATAAAATTATTTTAGTTAAATTACTTTATATTTGCCACAAAAACGTTTATTATAAAATTTGAGATGCTTAAGCCTATTAAAAAAATCTAATAATATTAGTTAAATTTCAAGGTCTGTCCATTCAGTTCACAGGCAGAGGCAAGTCTCGAATCAGCAAACATCCCTGCCGTGATTTCCAGAATTTGTCAATTTGGTAACCTTTAAAAGACTTAACTCTTAAATGGCTTTTTGTTGTGGGTTTGTTTTTAGGGGTTTTTCTGTTGTTTTGTTTTTATTATGAAAATTATGGAATCATGTCTTCTACCCAAAAAATCAACTTTATTTAAAATATTATCACATAATAGATCATGCAAGACATCTGGTATACAGAGTAAATACAGAGAATTCTGCAGACACATCAGCTGCATCCTCAAGTAAATATAGCAGTATGAGAATTTCACAGGATAATGAAAAGAGACCTTTTATACAAAAAGTCTACAAAACACAAGCTCCAGTCTGTCAGTGAACAAATTTTTAAAATTACTTGACACTGCACAGATGTTATGTCACTCTACTGTTAATAGTTTATGATATATTAGCACATGAATCACAAAGCAAGTTATAGGAATCCAGAGGGTTGCCAAGAACAAGGACAAGAGGCCTTTCTCTTACAAGTTTTTGTGCCACTGAAAACAAGCCATTCACAGTGGCAACAAACTTGGACATTACTGGAGATTAAATCTGTAGTAGCTGTCAGCTCTCACTGGGAAATTAATAAATAATCAGAGTCTTAAAACAACTTGCACCCAAAAATGTCATGCACCCCAAATCCTAGCTGCCTTTCAAAAAGCTAAAACCACCTCGATTTTTTAATTTTGCTGGTATTTACAGTATTGTTATTTAGTAACTGAAACATCAAATACTTACACCTGTTTAAGAAGTTATCAATGTTTTTGTTTTTTCTTAAGGCAGGAAAATCCAAGTCATATACCAAAGCGTCTAATCCATCCTGGAAAAAAACCCAACAACAAGCGAAATTAAAAAACAACAAGCATTCGGAAAAATAATTACACATGCTGCTAACTGAAGAGACAAGATAAAACCAGCTGTCTCTATCAATTTTCCCTAAAACTGAAATCATTCATGTTTATTTAATAATTCAATTAGCAGTTACAAGAAACAGCTGTTATTCTCCCACTTCCATTGGATTCTTCAAAACTTCATTTCCACCCATCTCAAAACAAATATACTTCTATAAATTATTGATTACCTTAATTATCTCCACATTTACATGAACAAAATATTTTTCCAAATACACAAAGAACAAATAGCAGTTTTAATGAAGTTCAGTAACGTTAAAAAACTACAACATATCACACAGTAGGCATCTGAACATTAAGTGGTAATAACAAAGAAGACAACGATGGTCATTTAATTCCAAGAGGCAACCCCCACATTTTATTCACTGAATTCAGAGGGGAATTTTTATTAACAAGATATTGGCTACGTACATTCTAACTTAAATCCAGGAAGACAGCTGCAAGCTCATCTGGCATTACTACCACGGAATACACCCCTATCAACTAAAAAAAACCCAAAACCCAGTAAAAACACAACAGAAAAATACAAAAATTACAAAGAAGATCATAGTTTTAAGGTCTTGTTAAGTGCCATAAACTTTCCAACTTAAGTTTTATGACAGATATACATGATTCTTCAGTGGCTTGCATCTTAGAGAAAAACTATACCAGATATTTTGGTTGAAAAGCCAATATAGTAACTAATAGTTACTACAGTATAGCAGATATAGTAACTATAGTTACAGATATAGTAACTAATGAAAAATTATCAAGTATTCTAGGGAATGACATCACGAAGAATCAAATAACATTAGGGAGTCTTCTTTCTCAGCTAGGTAATGTTTAAGTGACAACTGCAAAAATATAGAGAGGAAGGTCATAAAATACAAATCAATGGATATTACTGAAGCATGCCAGGAAAGTACCTCTATTGACTTGTCACGTCTGTACCTATGCGTCTATGCTATCTGTTACTGAGTTGCTGGCAGCGAGGTACTAGACGAGAAATATCTTTGATCTGATCAGCTCAGATGTGATTATACCTAATTTGACTGTTATCAGCTTTTATAATATCATGCAATACAGGATGAAAAGCTCACCCAGCAGTCTTTGCTATACCCACCAAATAACTGTACCTGAAGAAAAGCCGGAGTATCAGCTTTTTGAAAGCTTATTTTCCAAGAATATGTATTAGAGAATATACTTGATGTAGATTAAAAAATTAGTCCTTGATCCCCCACTTTGTTTATCATCCTTCAGTCTAAAGGTGATTTTAAGATACACAAAAAAACCCAAATGCTATCAAAATTATTTACAGGCTTGCAGTCCTCACTTTTGAAGTATGTGAGATAGAAATTGTTTAATTCAGATACAATGAGAATAAGCAGCAAAATCATGCTAGAATTTGTAAACAGGTTTAAGGAAGTAAAACTACAAGGATAACCAGTATTACTTTCAAGGCTGGATGTTATTAAAGCTGTTAATTTCATAAAAACATTCCTGTTTTAAATTACCTCTCCATATAGTGGCTTAGTTTGAACTGAGAAATGTTACAATGAAAATTTTAAGAATCAAGAAAAACATCACTGTATTTTCACAGCACTTAAATGAAGTCAGGTTTTGCATCTTGAGTGTGTTCACAGAATCATCTTTTTGAACTTACACTGATGATGAAAAAGGAAAGCAAATGGCAAACAAAAAAAAACATTTAATGGGTGAGTAACATTAAAAAAAAAGTAAGGGGCCAACAATTTGGACTCAAGATAGATGTAGAAATAGATTTATGCAAGGTAAGTGCAACTTAGTGAGAAATACTTTATAACCTACTAAAGGACACCTCTTTCAAAGATATAAGTATCCAGAAAATCCACTAAAGAATTTAAATTCTTTGGTAAATTCAACAGAGAACTGCTTGCACAGCAGTACAAAGTGCTCTGGTAGCTCTATGCATAGCGCCCCATCCTGTGAGAAATGGTAGGCACAGAACATCTCTGAGGCTGCTAGGTCACATCCAGGGATTTCTAAAGGCAGATGAGTGAGTGATGGCAATAAGTTGTCAAAGCCTGGGGTCCACTCTGCCCTTAAGCCTTGAAATCCGTCAATTTGTCCTGCCACAGCTAAGATTGAAAACTTGCTCACCTATAAGCAGAAGCACAATAAAATTCTCAAAATCCTGGTTTACTCTGGGGCAGTGCAATTACCTGCTCCCTTTCAGGGTTTGTTTTAGAAGTCAGAATTCAGTCTTTAAAGTTTCTTTAGAGTAGGGGAGTTTAAACACCCAATACAAAAATATATGAAAAATGGGAACATTTACAAATATTTAACATCAATCTTGCTTTCATATCATTCTTTCTCTTTCAAAATATTAAAATGCAGGTCTATGCATATAAAAGCAGTAAGTTACAGCAAGTGTCATGGTTTCATTGGTCTGTTCGGCATGTTGGGTATTTTGCTGTGTTTTTAAAAGCTCCAAAATTAAGATGAAAAGTAGCATAAAAAACCCCTCACTTTTAGCAGGCAAAAGCAAATTTCAATACTATTTAATTCAAAATTTACCATGAACATATTACCTTTCAGGTCTTAGATATGGACTCTTTCAAGTAAAATACTTAACAAAAAAAACACCCTTTGAAATACAGATTTAAGCTATTGATCTTAGATTTATTTCAAATCACACTTCAAAATCAAGCAAACAACATCTAAGGTAGCTGCATGTCAAGAGTTGGCTCATGTAAAAGGCTCTTTAATAATCAACTCCCCTTTGCTACAGTATCCGGAAAAACAACTATCCTGGTTCAAAGCTTTCACAAAAAAAGACAGGGGTAGGGTGTGCCTTTAATAATTAAGAGACTTGTAAAGCCTTCTCTCTCAAAAATCAATCAGTTTTCCAACTGAAGTATGTTTCTGAAGAAAAAATAGCATGGTATTATTTCAATGGTGGATGGCAAACACAAGACTAAGCTGAAGGTAACTTCAGAGAATTGTAGATAACGGAAGTAAAATATCTGGGATGTCCAGTATGTAACATAAATCACGGAATATTTCACTTACATTAGCTAAATCTGAAGAATTTGTGAACCCTACCAGCTGCCCCAGAAACAACAGGAACCACAGAAGTGTGGCTATTTTAAGTGGAATCACTAGTGAACAAACAAGGAGGGGCACACAAGGTCAACAGTGAGAGGGCAATGCTGGTTGAAAGTGGTGCAGATAAGAGAGATGGGCATATACTACAGAGTTTCAGCAGTAATGGTTAGGAGAAAAAGGGTAAAGCTCAAATGAAAGGAGCTATTTGCTATTGTTGATGGCTGCAGAGATAATTCATCTCTCAGCTTTATTTTTACCATCTTGCTCAATCTTTCAATATGCAATTGGAACTTTTTCCTAACACAGAAAGGAACATCTTTCCTTCAAGACCTATAGTAGTCATACTCTCCCTCACTTAAAGGAAAAAAATACTAGGACATCATTATAACAGGCAACTATACATCCATCAGTTTAATGTGCTTTATTAAAATAAGGCCTCATTTTTATGATGGATTTTTTTCACCACTTGAGTATGTTAAGCATATTTTTAGTACTTGTTTTCTTTAAGTACAACACTTCCTGTACCTCACAGAAACATGTATTGTAGCTTAGAGGTATTTTCAGCTAACACTAAGTTCTATCTTATTCTGTCATTACAGAGCAGTTTTCCTGTTTAGCTTTCAGGTCTACACAGATATTTTCATTTTATGTTAATAGTTAAATTAGACTGGTAAAACAAATAGTTCCTTTCTTCATGGTCTGAAATAGCCTTTTCCATATCTCATTCAATAATCAGTAACTTCATAAGCTATTTTAAATATCTAATTATATCCTGAAATTAAAAAGCAACATACTGGGGAGCCATTACAACATGCAGAGAGTTCTTTCATAAGAAAACGTTTTCACATATTCTGTTGGTTTCGTTCATTACCACACCAAACCTATAAGTTTTAAAAGGACAGTTATAACGAGTAAAATCAAAGCTCAATCTAGATAGTTATACTGCCCCTGGAGATGAAGACAGTGTCTAGGAAAGACAATAAGAACAAGTCCAGCATACAGTAGTGTATATAGTAGTGCTCTGGCATATTTGTGAGACAGAAATGGCAGTCGAAGTTACAGCTTTAGTCAGAATTTTCTTCAGTGATGTTGTCTAAACATTTTCTAACTCTGTTTTAGTCTCTTGCATTTACAGCATCATATAGATACGAATTCCACTACCTATAGGCTGTGTGAAAGTTTACTTTATTTTGCACTTGCCATTTTTCAGTCACAGAAGGAGCAATGACTCTTTACCCTCCGGCTATACAGCTGTACACACTTCCATCATTTATCCCTTGGTCTACTCTCTTCCAGTTATCCTTGCATGAAAGCTATTTCAATTTCCACCATCACCACCGTGCAGTGCACTTTCTTTTCTTCCTACTAGATACTTCTGAATGGGGCACACCTCAAGTTGGAGGCCTGTGGCCAGTGGTGTTCCCCAGGGATCAGTACTGGGTCCAGTTTTGTTCAGTATCTTCATCAACGACCTGGATGAGGGGATAGAGTGCACCCTCAGCAAGTTCACTGATGATATCAACCTGGGAGGGGTGGCTGACACACAGGCAGGCTGTGCTGCCATCCAATGAGGTCTGGACAGGCTGGAGAGCTGGGCGAGGGCAAACCACATGAAGTTCAGTAAGGACAAGTGTAGAGTCCTGCATCTGGGGAGGAATAACACCAGGCACCAGTCCAGATTAGGGGACGTCCTGCTGGAAAGCAGCCCCATGGAGAAAGACCTTGGAGTCCTAGTGGACAGTGAGTTGTCCATGGGACAGCAATATGTCCTTGTGGCCAAGAGGGCCAATGGGATCCTGGGGTGCATTAAGAAAAGTGTGTCCAGCAGGTCTAAGGAAGTTCT